CGTACATTCTATTTTAACATGTTCTTTTTAATATTGGATTAACTGAAGAAGGCAGTTGAAAATGTTTTTATTAGATTAAACATTTATTGCTGGATAGTTAAAGGTGTTATTTATATTGCTTAATCTATTTCCAGTAAGAATCTCTCTAATTTATTTGCATTAGGTTTGTTTCCTTGAATTCAAAGGTTTTGTTCTCTGAACAATTCTGCTTGAAGTAGACAGTTAAATACTGTTTCAAGTACTCACAAAATAAATTATTTTTATGTAATGCTGACAGACACTGGTATATATTATCTTTTTCTATTAATATTTGACATGTATTAGCTATTTAAAACTTTATTACTAAGTATAAATAAATCTAAAACTGCAGTTTAAATTTTTAAAATTTAAACTTATTTAATTTTAGATTTATATCTTAAATTAATTGTTTTTATAATTTAATTTCATTGGTAATAAACTAAGCAATTAACAATCCAATAATTATATATTTTTTTATATGCAAAACTGCATCTTGCTTTCCATTATTTTAATGAAACCACTGTGGAGTCTCCGACAAACAAGGGTTTCACGATTTTAACAATGATAAGACAAGTTATTTAATTAACGCAAGTGCTTTCTACAGTTTAAAACATTTTTTTCTATTATTTTCTAGTTTTTATAGCAGGCAATAAAATTTTTGCAAAAGGATTACTTTAATAAAATTACAAAATAAGATAGATTTAATAGCTACAGTAGTATGTATGTATGTAAAATTTATATTGTTCCTGACATTCATATAGTATTCATTTCATTGCTAACCAAATAAATTATTATGAATTTTAAAACAGAATGAATGAATTTCTGAAAAAGCAAATTTATCAGTAAGAACTAGTTTAAAAGAAGGGAAGAAATACTTTACATAGAACTAAAGCAAACAAATTAATTTCACATAAATTTTGTATAAGCAGAAATATATATAACTTAAAAAAATATTAAATTAAATATAATCAATATATCATTATATCCTATGTAGAGGCAACTGTAAATAGCCACTGTAAACATCTGTAAACTGTAAACATCCAGCAAAATTATGCAATTCAATCCATGGTTATGACATTTTAAAATTAAAAAAACAAAACAAAAGGAAATTTAAGTATTTTTTCTAAAATTAAAAAATTGTGAAATTCAGGTAAATAATATTTGAAGAATCACCTAGCTGGCAATATTATATCAATATAGGTTAATCAAACAATGATTGTATAAGAATTACATATATTACATTTAAATTTTCTAAATTCCTAACTAAAGTGGCAGCTGATGGAAATGAAAAAACTGAATAGTAAAAAAAAAAGGACATGATTCAATATATATGTTTCTTGTAAAACAAGCAATTAAACTTAAAATTTTATTCATTCAGGTTTAAATAAAGAATATGCATATATATCCTCATCTGATCCTCAAATGCAATATATCAGTATATTTTTTAAACATGAATGTTCAAGCCTATTGATTATAGTTTTAAGTTGGGATTACTAACCAACTACTTCAGAACATGACCAGTTTAAAACAAAAATTTCTCTCTCTTATATATTTAATATAAAATGAATAATTCTATATCATTCATTTTATATTTCAACTTAAATGAAACTGTAAAATTTAATTACTTTACATCTAATCTGATAGGTTTGATCTAATAAATTTAAGTTTAATTTTTCACCTAAAACAGATTTTTTACACAGGTGACAATACCATCTACCAAAACACCACTAAAAGCTATTCACTGCTGCTAGAAATGCTGCAGGTGAAATTATCCGCACAAAAAAAATTCTTAAATAAAACAATTCCTATTTACAGGGGAGGCTATGATAATCTATATTTATCAGCACATTTTCCTCAGTAGATGCAAAGCCCAAAAATCCCCAGATGGAAAGAAAACAAAGATGTCTAAGATCTGCCAGTTCCAATTTTAACTTTGAAATTTAATTGGATATTTTTCTGTGTTTTTTAAAGGAATGTTTTTAAACTTGACGGACAAGTAGTCTACAAAGAAAGGTCAGGTCATCAATTGTTTGTATTCTGGAACACAAGTGAATAAATGGTGGTTACCAATTTTGGATGGACTACGTCTTCCAATTAATTTTAGTAAAATTGCCATCTGACAAAATTCTACAATCCCATTTATTTAAATTATATTTACATTAAAATCAAATGGTTTATTTTTACATGATAATTGTCATTAAATTGTGTGAATTATATCAAAAAGTGTGTATTGTTCTTTGAACAGTTGTGCCAAGTGATTGAAACTCATGAGTTGCTCATCCACTATATAAAACTTTATAGGTATAAATTTTAGGCAGTTGGAGTTTCTCTTCACAAGAGCCACTCATCATTGAAATATTTTGCACAATCCTAAGTGTCCTTTAATACAGTCATAAACTGGCAACCTTATCTAAATATCAAAGATATACAGAAATAATGGTTTCTCAAAAAGAAAAACTCAATTTTATTAATTTTCCATCATTTCCACAAAAATAAATCTGAAATCAATTATACCATTAATTTATATCAAATTACATAGTACATAAATTTTATTCTAGTTTTAAATGAACAATTATTGTATTGATTAAAAAAAAAACAGTTAAAAAAATTTGAAAAATTTTTCTAAGAAAAATTGTTCTGTATTTGCTAGGCAATAGTAAAAAAGCAAATATAGAATATTGTCAGTCATAAATGTAATTAAACTTTCATAATGAAATACCAATTTTAATTGCTTGTCAATCAAACAACTTTCAAAAACATTTCTGCATACAGTTTCATGTAAAAATTCATTATGTCACATTAAATGTTTCCATTCAAATGAACAATCATCATCACATAGTATATTTACAATTCATAGAGATAATCTCGAAAGCTGAATGAATATTTGCTAATTAACAGATGTTAAAGTTTTGTAATTGAATAAAATCCTATGTTAAATCACTTATTTCAATATACAGTAGAGTATCGATTATCCGACCACCCAATGAACTGTCTTAATCGTCTTAACTGTGTTAACCGACCGTTCTAGTCGGCAAATTTCAAATGTCCGCTAGTGATGCGGCACTACAATATTTGGCCATGTCTTGGCTACTTTAATATTATTTTTGTTAAATTTTTGCATGTTTTAGCTGGCAACACGGCTCGACTATTAAAGGGCGGCCAGTATTTAAACAAGACTTAATTTTCTAATTATGAGTGGTTGTTTGTTTTGTGAGCAATAAAATAATTTAAAAATAATTTTTAACGATACGGTAGCGACGATTATTATTATTTTTAAAAAATTTGTTATGCTTAACATCGATGAAAATTCAATGCGAAGTTGGTTAATAGCGATATACTAATATGCTAATTACATGGGATATACTAATATACTATACTAATAATGTATTTTATTCATTTTTTCGGTTATCTGATTTTTCAGTTATCTGACCAACCTGAGTCCCCAATTGAGTTGGATAATCGATGCTCTACTGTACTTCATAATTGAAAATATATTTTGTTATTGTTAAAATCATATCACTTTTGGTACGAAAATTTAATGAGAAAAATCAATATTTTAGTTTCTGGATTTTATTAAAAATCTAATATTCTTATTTGTTTTGACAACAACTGCTATGTTAAATTAATGGTAAAACAATATTCCAAAATTGTTAGCTCTGATAAAATATGTAATAGAATTATATTAAAAAATTTGGGTTTACATTAAAGTTGAATAGCTTATTCACAAATGTCTATTTTGAAATATGATATAATTATTTTCTTTAAAGACAATTTTTTTCATTTGCAAAACAACCAAGAATCATCAATCCCACCTATTTATCCAATAAAGTTTTTTATTCAATCAATATTAATAATTGCATTAACTTAAATATAGCAAACAATATTCAGAACTATTCCTAACCTGTCAGCTGTTTAACTGTAAAAACAACATTGTTGCTCTTATTAATTTATTATTATTTAATTAAGAATTTGATATGAAATGTTTACTTTTATATCTATATATGTACGTACAGTATATAGCTTTAACAGTTAATAAAAAAAATCAAAAAATTTTTGATTATTATTCTTATTAGTCAAAAATTTTTCATGTGATAAACAATCGGCAACCACCCAGGTACCAGAACACCAACTTTTCCGTCTCCCCGGTCCAATTAATACACTGCCGCGTAACGTACGCAACAATTTTAATATATATTTCTGTAATGCTTAAATAAATTTGTTTCTAAGATAAAAAGATAGATGAAGAAACAGTAATTTTTTAAATAAAACTAGCTCCAACATCATCTATTTATTCATTTAAAGAAGCAATTTTAAAAAAAATTCAGAATCCTTGAAAAGAGGGGGAAAGGTCGAATTTTAAGGTTTCTTTTGGAGTCTGTCGAAAAAAAAAAAAAGCCATAACAATTCCAGATTTTAAATCAATTTCTGGATGTTAAACATTCTCTTATCTTAACATTGGTAAAAAGTTTATTTCGAAATAAATAAAAATTTATTAGAAACCGTAAACCCAATTACAGCATAGAAAAATTAACGATAACACTGAAAGTTAAAAACCGTGCAATTCGTTCGGATTTCAAATTATAGTATGTATGACATCACAAAAAAAAATTAATTAATTTTTTTCAGATTATTGCACTAGATTGCATCATAATGGTATAATTGCATGCAATAAAATCTGTAACATTCAAATTTACATCCTGTAACTCATTTATCATTTCTCAATATTGAAGATCGTTTACGACGTTAATTAAATACCTAAAATGTAGAAAAATGTAAGAATTATTATTTTAATTAATTAAAAAAACATAAATTCTCCTTGGTTTTGAAATGTATAGACAATAAATGAATTGTTTTGGTTATGTAATTATATTTTGAATTGAATATTTATCGATTTGTCGCACTTGGCAACGAAAAACCAAATTAAAAACATTATAAACGATCGAAATGATGCAGAAAATAATCGAGAGAAGAAATTTACTTACTTCATCGCCCCATTTCAAGCAATCCCATTGTCCGTCTTTGAATTTATGATATAAATGAATGAACTGTTGTACGCCGTGTTGTCTTACGTGGTCGGCCCACTTTTTCGTCTCTTCCCAACTCAGAGGTGCTCCTTCCGATAAAAGACCCATCGTCCGACTGAAAAACTTAACTCTTCTTTTTCAAACGCGACCAAACATACCGTATTTTATACGCTTGCGCTACCACTACGGCGCCCCCTCTCGCTTATAATTGCATCGTCGATAAATTGTGGAAATCGTTTCGATTTTGTTTTCGTGCTTTAAATGTTGCTCGTTGTAATTTAAAATTATTTATTTATTTATTTATTTTTGAATTAAAATATTTTATCTTGCCAACTTTACTAATCCTAAGGTTTTGATGGCCGGATGACCGAGCGATCAAGGTGGCAGCCTACCGCTCTGGTGGACACGGGATCGAATAATCCCAAATAATTTTTCGGGGGGTGATTCGATCGGATATGTCGACCCCCGTTCCTCACCACCCGGCCGCCCCATTGTGGGCCTGGCCGAACCCAATAAGAGGCCCTCTTAGTGCCTACAAGGCGGAGAGTTAAAAAAATCTTAAGACTATTTTTCATGCCCGTAGTTTCGATGACGCCCACAATAGGCACGTTGCCTAGTAAAGCGGCGTTAATACCAGGTTAATTTTTAATTAATGCAGCTGCATAATCAAACCAATGACGTATTCCGTTTCTAATGAGACAAGCTATATTAAAGCCGCTTTACCAGGCAACGCGTTTTTTGCCCTGCGGTTAGAGTAAAGACCAAAAGCAGGCTGATATATGTTATGGGACAAGTGACTAATAGGTTGTTATTTGCGATGCCCAGCCTATAATAATGTCTAAAATTGCACGATTAATATTTATATTTTTTACGTAAAAGAATTACTTAAAAGCATGAAATTTATTTATTTATTTATTTTTTAGTCTTTTTTACTTTAAAAAATGCCCGCTTTTTATCCTTCCCCAAGAATAGTCCTAGTTTTTTAGTACAATACTAAAAAAATTTGGTTAATAAATGATTTTATTTAAAAAAAAAACATATTCAGAATCTTTTGCAAAATATACTCTCTCAATAAATTTATTAAAACTATCTTAAAATTCTTAAAAAATAATATAAATAAATTTTATATTAAATAATTAAAAAATTAGTAAATGTTAACCATCACACTGGCTTACTTTATAACACTAAAACTCCATAAATGAGTGGTCAGTTTCCATTGTTGAATACCCATATTAATGGCATAGAAGTCAAGAGAGAAAACTCATCATTAAAGAGAAATCGATATCTTAAACTGATAGAAATGGATAAGAATTCAAAACATAAAAATGATTTTTAAAGCAAAACTCTCCCAATATTTAGAACAATGAAAGTTAAAACTAAATAAATAACTATAAAATTCGTAACTATAATAAAATTTTGGATACTGTGAGAGGACAATTTTATTTGCCGATTCCATCTTGCAAAACTGCGAGTGATGAAAAAATGTACAATTTTTGCTGAAATCCTCACATTCCACTTGCTTATCTGCTAGTTGGGAATCTGACAAAAGAGTTGTAATGATATCGGCATAAATATCACTACCACCACAAGATCCCAGATTGGATGCAATTCACTCTTCTGTCAGGTTACAGGCATAATAAATGGATGCGTTCAATAGACTCAACAGTTATAACTGCGCAAAGGTGCTTCAATCCGCACTACAGCTGTTGCATAGCAATGTGGATCTGCTGAACGATGACTGACGTGGCCTATTCGTTGGAACAGGAAATTGATGGTCTCTTTCACGGGCGGAGCCATCACTGATCATTGCGGCTAGAGAAATACTGTGATGACAAAACACCAAACACTACAGTAACGTTGTTCCGTTCCGGAACAATGCTACTGTAGTGGATGTTCAATAGAAAAATATTCAAAAGCATCAGAACCACTCAGTCTGCTGAACACAGTCATTGTCTAACCAAAAATCCACAGATTCTGAATTTAAGCGAATTCATCTCTTTAAAAACTCTCTAAAAAGAATCGCATCTCTTTAAAAACAGACAATCTAAAGCCGAATCCAACAATCGTATATTACAAAAAAAATAACTAAAATAACGACAAAGACACTTAAAAATGCACACGCTAATGCAACTCTTGCCAACTTTGCCTATCGAACGGTCGGAAACAGTTATTACTAGAACGAAACTTGTAGCCTTCAACCATATTATCTAGTAATCTTGCCAGTCTCATTAGGAAATTAATGTCGAATGATAAGGGGTGGACTTACTACAAGTACAGTATATACCAATCGAATCACCTGAGATTTCTGAAATCGTATCCTGATTCGAACCAGAATTCCTGATGACGCCTTTATTACTTCGATATCCTGCTATCTTATTTTGACAACACTTTTGGAATGAAGGGCGTGCAAGGGACTTCTGACACCGTTTATAGAAGAAAGTTTATTCTTCATACATTTTAACACGGTCTGAGCAAATGCAATGAAATTTTTGAGGAACCATCCTCTCATCTAGGTAGTCAATATTTAACTATACTATTTTGGTCGAATTAACTATCCCTCCCCACAACAGGACCTCCTTTCTATCTGACCAACGGGATGGCCACATTCGAATAGGAAAACTTCTTAATACAAAGTTACAAGTGTGAGCCTCCGGAAAAGTCTCGGAACCTCACACGTTAATATTTTAAAATATGATTTTTATTTCCATAATAGGAAAAATTAATAATAGTAATACTGTAATAATAATGAAAAAAAAACAACCTTCTCTCAGAAATAAAACAAAGGTCAACTATCTCTGTTTGGGATCGAATTAAATGTCGATTTTGACTCATCCTAAGTTGGGATCATCTTACACTTAGTAACGAGTGACGACCATTTAGAAAGTGAGGATGAGGAAAGGTCATCAATCGGAATGAACGATCAGGAACAGAAAATACTGAAAACTCCGAATTTCAAGGTCAAGGGAGCTTCTCTCCCCGAATTCTCATAGTGCAAGATCTTACAGTCCAAGATGAGGTGGAGAATGCCACTATCTGGACTGACCTCACCTCCTCTAGACTGATCATCATCCCCGGGGCAAAAGAGAAAGCTGAAGGACCCTTCTATCAGAATTCTCTCTTTAAAAAGAAGTACCAGAAGATTTAGTCTTCACCTGCAGAGACACGATTATTATTATTGCTGTAAGCTGTGTGTGTGTTTAAAATAAATCGCTACGATGTTTAGTAACTGTTGAGTCTGACTCTGTGTCTATCACACCCATATACGAATCTGAACTCTGTTCTGTTCTGACTTGAGAGAGAAACTCTGCGACCTTACACAAGCAAGGGCAAATTTGTTTTTAAAACATTTTTAAAAGGGTGCAGAATTAAAATATTTGGTACATATTTCACGAAATTAGATTACCATTTCACATTCGGCTGTGAATTATACGATAGAGTAACATTAGAAAAAAGTTGGATGTCTTGAATTGTCTTCGAAGTGTTATGCAGGCAGAAGTTAACGACTATGTTCTGTTGATAAACATAAATTCCTGGCTATCTGACCAATGAAATTACACCATAGTATCGCATTCTTAGAAAGCAAACACGTACCAGGGAGTTTCCGGAGGTTCAAGTATGACTCTTGCCCCCGTGCCTCAAAATGTGACTGTTCATTTATTTTTTTGTTAAATGAACTTAAATTAAATAAGATCGATTTATTTTTTTTCTTTTTTGTCGTTTTTATTCTGTTTTATTACATCTTTTTTTCTTATAATTCATTTAACATTTCTTGATAAACAGGACAACTGTAGGCTAAAATAACCAAATTTTTAATATGGTTTTTATTTTAATATTTGTTGTTACTATTTTTTTGCCCTGGCAGTACCAGGCGTACTTGTCATTACTTAAATACATGTCAATAATGTAAAATCTTTGAAATAAAAACCAAAATTATTATATATTATAATAAACTTTTATTATAGAATGCTTTTAATAAGCAATAACAACGTAACCCATAAATGGCCACAGTCATGGAATTTGCTGATTAATTAAAACATTTTCACCATTCAAAAATTACTTTTAACATATAATATATATGGAATTGGCTAATAATATAACATAACATGATCTGAATGTAAATTCTGAACAATTCCACTAAATAATGTGGATTATTTCCAAACTTATTTATATATAAAATACGTCCCACGAAAGCATAAATATCGCATACGACACTCTCTCGTAGTGTTATTCATATTACAATGTTAAACTAGCAACAAATAGAATAAATTTCACTTCTGCAAACATAAAATTTTTTTAAACTAAAGCTACAGCATTTTTAAATACTGCTATTATTTTCGAAGCATACAGATAGTTTATGATTCCGTAACCACATAAAAATGTCATAACAAATGTATACATTGGCCAAACAAAGTTAAATATGGCTGTCATAAACAACTCATTGATTTTTGTATAATGGCAATAGTTTAAAAAACCTTCAAAGTTAATTATTCTATAACATCAGTATGTGTTTACCACATATAAACGCGACATTACTATATGGAATGTGTGGACTTCCAATATTTCATGCAGGTAACACATTTATCATATAAAATCTAAGTACACAGCTGCCTGTATTTTATTAACAGAGTATATTTATTTATATATATATATATATATTTATATATATAGATATATATACTGTATATACATGTGTATTATACACATAGTTTGTACCAATAAAATGATTGCTTTTTAAAATTTTTGCTCGAATGCAAGCAAAATTGGAATCATGTTATAATGAGTAAGAGGAAAAAATTAAGTCTTGTTGGTATTTCTATAGTTAAAAAAAATGTAAAACACAATATATATTTGAAAAATGTAAAACCTGGAAGATGTATTAAGTAATATCAATCTGCAAAAAAATATTTATTATTTATAATGCAGATTGATTTTATATTAAAATATGATTATTGGCACTTTTTAATATTTTGTAAAAGAAATTATAATAAAGTCATCGTAAAGGATCAAAGGTCTTCGTCACCAATTCCTTCGAACGCATCATTTTCAACAAATGTTTTAGGTGAGGCACTTCCGTTACCACTTCTTGTTGGAGATTTGAGAGACAAGCCAGATAATTTATCCTAATAAAAAAACATATAAAAAAATTTAAAATTAAAAATAATAATGTACAGTAGTGAATATATTTTTTAAATTGCCAAATATTTTAATTATGATAATATAAGAAATGCTTATGAAACAGACATCAAAAAAGTTTGTAATTATCAATCAGTTGGTTTAATGTCAGTATTATTTTTTTTATAGCCAAGCAATGTTACATGTATAATCAAGCAGTAAAATTTCAAGACTATTAATAGCCACAGAGAATCAAATGTGATTAAGATTTTTAGAAATATAAACTGTATTTACCTTGAATTGCTCACTCTAGTTAAGAAAAACTATCATATTGCATCAATTGTAAAATTCATCACGTAACTTTCTCTAAATCTCTACCAACACTAAAGGTTCAGCAAAAATGTGTTCATATTATGTACCTCTTTACTTTTTAAATAATTCAATTACCATATTTTAAAATTTCCAACAAGGAAACATAATATGAATATGTTATATTCTATTATGTTAAACTATAATGCACATACCTTTCAACAAACTATCATTTGTTTGAAGAAGTTGCATTTTTCACACAATTATTTATTTTTTGATATAGAGAATTAAAGAAATGTTTATTAATTGGCAATACAAAAAATTATAATCAGTGATTATCTTTGATTAAATTACTGTCATTGATTATGAAAGATAATCAATTAACTGTTTTGTTATTACTTAACCATTTATTATAGATAATATTCATCTCATATTATGACACTATCTGAGTAAAAAAAAATTATTATTATTATTATTGTTTATCTTTTTATAAAATATTTTTAAATTTCAATTTTAATGCAAACATCAATACTAGCATTACAATAATAAATTCTGTTTTAAGATAGTAGACATATTCCTGAAAAATCCATGTAAGAAAAAAAAAAGTCAAGATTAAAAATAACTTCTTGTTGTTTCTCTACTATCAAAAATATAAATAAATGCATTAATTTTAAAAATGTTCTTTCAAATTCATCAACTTTAAAATAAATCAGTACCTAATTTCAAGACTACTAATTTTAAATTAAGTTACAAATTATAAAATATTATATTACTTCTAGTTTTGTTACATCATGTAACTGAATTTTATTTAGATTTTCAATGTTTATATTGAAGTATATCAATAATTCATCAATTACATTATTTACAAAATATTAAAAATTTTGAAATAATAAATTTAATAAAATAAAAAAATATCAAGTTCTCATATTTTAAATTATTTCTAAAAATTATGCTATTTCATTATCTCATTATTTCATTCTTAATTGGGACAAATAAGGACATTTTGATACTTCATTCTATACAAAATACACTAATATTTAATGCAACATAAATATAAAATATCCAGAAAAAAGTTGCTTAATTAACTTTTCCAGTAATATTCAGTAGTGTCATCTGTTAAGATATTTTATTAAAAAGAACTTTTTATATTTTTAATTATTATAAAATTGCAAAAAACTTAATTTTGAGGATAGGGATGGTTTTATAAAATATTGTAAATGCTAATAATGAGNAGAAAAAAGTTGCTTAATTAACTTTTCCAGTAATATTCAGTAGTGTCATCTGTTAAGATATTTTATTAAAAAGAACTTTTTATATTTTTAATTATTATAAAATTGCAAAAAACTTAATTTTGAGGATAGGGATGGTTTTATAAAATATTGTAAATGCTAATAATGAGTAAAATCATCATTAATTAAGTCAGACCCTACTTGAGATATGACACACAATCCGTATCTATCTCCCTACCCATAAACTATTAACAACAAAAATTTAATGGCATCAATCCCCTAACATGCAAATATCCCAGCAGAATTTCAGAAAATTTCAACAAAAAGTACAGGTGTTATTAAGCTTCAAAGAGGATGAACAAAATTATTCTACATATACACAGATAAAACCCCCAAATTTTTTTTTTCATTTTTCAATGTTTCAAGTCCTGAGTCCAAAAATGTAAAAATCTTGGGGGGTCATCTTTTGACTGATCACCATACTTTTCCTCTGTTATGTATAACAGCCAGGAAAGTAAAATGTTAAAGAAAAATGTATAATAAAACTTAAAACTTAACAAAACTAATTAATGCACTTTAAAAATATATATACAGTGGATTCTGCTTAATTGGGCCACCTGTTAATCACAGCATCTGCTTTATTTGGCCAAATCTCAAAGAATGGAAACCAAACTAATAAATTAATACATAATTTAATCGCTTAATTGGGACAGTAGCAGAAAAGGAATTTAGCAATTTTTGATATATTTTAGTAATCTTCCAATAATATGTAGGCACTATGTACACTAATGTCCTGTAGTCATAACAGTTGGCAGAGACAAGGAAATTTTGTCTTTTGCTTGTGGGCAGTTTGGTTTTTCTAGAGGGGGTCAGCATAGTGGGACGTATCACACAAGGATTTTGTCTGAGGCGGGCCTGAATGTGAGTTACTGACCATGCTCTGAACTGGACTGGATGATCTCCTTAAAAGCAAAGGAACAAAGATTGCTGGACAATTTTTCGAGGTCTCTCGACTGAGTTGGAAGACAGCTAGAGTTCACTTGGAAGGTATTGTGTGCATAATTACATCTAGATTCAGACAGTAGCCATACGATTGCTGAGACCAGCATCAAGCTGGCAGATTCTACAGACACTCTTGCCGAAGTGGCCCATCTCCAAGTAAAGGAAACTGTGCTCAAAAGAAGACCATAAAATGACTTTTGGACAAACCCTTTTCTTTCTCCCGAAGAATTTCTTTTTAGTTAGAACATGTTCTAACTAAAGAGAAAGAAAGGAAACATTGTTCGATCAGAAACGGGTTGAATAGTCAACCCTTGTATACATCACCACTAATATTTGGCAACACTAGCATTATGCCAATCAGTTATCTAATGTCATAAGTCTGGTAAATTTATAATACAAATATTTTCTGTATTTTGGTTTAATAAAGCATTAAAATAGTTACCTAATTATTATTTTTTACCCACTTAAAATTTATTTACCTACGTATTACATATTTTATTATAGAATTTATTATTAGTTTGTTTATTTGAGACACCTGCTTAATTGGGCCAAAATAAATTAGTCCCAATGTGTCCCAATTAAGCGGAATCCACTGTATATGTATATAATTTTTTGTCAAACTTTTAAGTATAAAAAAATTAATAAAAAAGAGATTGAATACAACAAAAAGTAACTTAGTCTTATCATCAATATTTCACCATTATTTAACTTTTTATTAAATGCATTTGAATTAAATTTCTGTCATTGTTAAAGATATATATATATATAATTGTTCTTAATTGTTTCTTGTTCTTCTTGTTTTAATTGTTAGGAGTAAGCATAAGATTACTTAAGAGAAGTTTCATGTGTGTTATACATCAGCAGTCACCAACCTTTCTAACTTCATGGACCACTAAACTCATAATTTTGAATCCCATGGACCATTATCATAAATTTTTTTAATAATACAAACATCTATAGAATAATGATCATAAAATTTCCATTTCACTTTATTAATATGAAATTAAATTGTTTAATTATAACAAATTAATGTAAAGTTTGTTGCTGCTTGTTTGAAATAAGTTTATGGATTCTTGGCTCTTCCATGAAGACGACAATCACACACACAATATTTATTGTTATTTATTTATTAATATATTGACATTATTATTTATTGATAATCTTCATTTCGTGTTTGGTTTTAGATTCAAATAAAAAATCCCAATAAGTGAGGAAAAGCAACCAAGCATTTTACATTTCTTTTGTAATACTTCACATAACCTTGAGTTGATCAATGTCAATATTTCTCCATGGACCACCGGTTGCCAACTGCTGTTATAGATAACATACATGTAACTTCAGGCATCCAGAAAATTTTGTGTTTGTTATAATTTTATGTATACTTTTAACTAAAATTTTATAATGTTTTAACCAGATTGATGTAAAATTAAAAGAGGACCGATGAGGGACATATTGTCTAAAATGCATATCCTCTGGAATCAATACAGCCTGCATATCTTCATTGTGTGTTCCTGTATGATTCATTCTCTGAAGCAATCTTATATAATTGTTTTTCATTTTTAATAGATACTATTCCATTAAACATCTTCAAAACACTATCAATATATCATTGACAGTATTTGTTAGCAGACTGATGTATTCATATCACTTTGGAAGGTTTCTCTATACCAATGGTTCTCAAACTTATTAAGCTCATGGACCCTTCTCATAGTAAAAACCCAACCATAAACCCCCAAGTGAAATAACTCTACATAACTACATAATAGCAAAATTACAAATTTAATTTTGATGTCTTGAATGGTGAATGGTAACGTAAAAATTAAATATCAAAATGTTTTATGTATATTTTAAGTAATATTTATTCGAGAGGTTGCGGCCGAAGTTTTCATTTCTAAAACGTGAATATCGAGCACCACCATATTGTAATCCTAGAAGTTTGACAATGGCATTTGGAACATCAAGCATTGCATGCTTGATGTTCCAAATGACTACTAATTCTACTAGTTCTACTAATGACATTTGGAACATCAAGCATTGCATGCTTGATGTTCCAAATGCCATTAGTAGAAGATTCCAAAGTAGAAGTTTGGCTTAAACATCTGCATTTTTCTGTGTTTTGAGTTAAAATTATGATGTATTTTATTAAAATAATGATTATTTAAGCATTTGTGAACAACAATGTAAAGAAACTGATGATTTTAAGCTGGAAATTATTTAATTATTCAATATTTTTGCAAGTGATGTGAAGTGCCTATAGAATTTACATATATTTGTGTTCATAATAGCTTATCATAATTCTGTAGGAGTAGGTTTGTTCTTTCACAGCATCTTCTACCATCAACAGCATAATATGTTTGTAAATTTCTAAAAATAATTTTCTGAGCTGCTTTTGGATTTATATAAGTCTTCCTCTCTATTTCTCTCAACAAAAGTATGTCGTGAGAACAGGCAAAAAGCATTGAAATTGCCCTACTATTAAATCATATGATAGGAGACATGGTGCTAATTAAAGTAAAAAATAATTATTTAATGTTATTAAACATCCTCTAAATATTTTAAACTAAGTTAATTTATTTATTTACACAACATATCTGGATATACTTGGAGTTCAAACATCAAACGTGTACTTCTGCTTGCGTACAAGTTTAAAGTTTGAACTTCAGCCACAACCTCTCTATTGAAATTACTATCTAAAGCTTGCCCATTTTTGAAAAACGGGTATAATATAATGAAAACAAAAATAACTGTATAATTTATTTCCAATTGGGTTATAAATTACATTACAAAAATATAAAATTAATAAGTTTTTTATTTTATCTATTGAATTTTCATAAAAAAACATATTTTTGATCAAAATAAATGAATTATTTATATATTTTTAGTCGTTGAACAGTTTTTATAATTATGAAAAACAACCAATACTGATCACTGTTTTGGATGTCATAATGTATGTAATAAATGAAGCACAGAGTCCATTTTCAAAATCAGCAAACTTTAGCTAGTATTCCCATCATGCAATGTTTGTCATTACTTGTATTTTATATACTTATCTATACTTATATTTTACTCAGGACATGAAAATGACTATCAATTTATTTATTACTATTTATTTTTAGTTCTCATAAAAATGAAAATGGATCACCATCAATTTACTTTTTATTAAATCTTTCATGGGCCCCTGATGTTGTCCACATACCCCAAATTAATTTTAATTTGCCACTGACTCCATCAGCAGTTCCACGAACCCCAGGGATCAATAGGAACCACTTTGGGAAACATTGCTCTATACAATATTGTATATTCTAATGTATATACAGTATTTAAATAAATAAATGTTTCCCTTCTTTTGCTTACATTTTTTCACTTTCCAAAAATGTTTTGAAGTGCATGATTTTTATGATTTTAAATATTATAATGTTATTAGATCTTAACTGACTGTAAAGCTTTACTGCTTTACAGTCAGTTAAGAAGTTAAGCAGTATATGTCAACAAGAAAATAATTTGAAAATTTTTGCATATTTTATGCAGAAAATATGAAAAAAAAAGTAAATACCAAGTAATAGACAAGACATTATAAATGAAGAGGAGAGAAGTCTGGAATTAAATTATATAATTACATTTTGTATGTGTCAAATATGTAAAAATTGTATTAGTTGAATTTAAATGTAAGCTAAATTATGCTATACACATATGATTTTTGACAATAAATATAGTAGTAATCACTAATTTACAGAATCTTCATATAAATTAACTGCATTATATGATATTAATTTCTATTTATTGCTTTAAAATAATGAAATACTGCTATCACTGCAGTGATATTAATACAAATAATAAAAATTATTACTATTTATATATTATAGTAAAGTCCCTAAAGTCCAATCTAAACAGGACTGATAACTTATTGGATTATTGAAAATATGAGATAAGATAATATTAAAACAATGAGAAGAGGCAAAACAAATTGCAAATTTAATGGAAATCTATGTGTAAATCAGATTTATTAATAATTATTCAGTTGAAAAATACCTTTCTTTTTTTACTTACAATATTACTCAAGTAAAATCATATTAAGAGAAAATGCAATTGAAAAAGATAAAACAATAAGTGTGCTACAAAAGAGATCAATACAAAGAAATCATCACTATAAATAATGAAATGAATCTGTCCAAGACAGTAAGTATGCAATGCAGTGACAAACTAGCAGTGGGAGTAAGCAAAACAGAATATGTTTCATATGGAAATGCTAAATAAAGTGGATTGTTTGATAACTGAAGGCAAGATAATCAAGTCTCTATTCTAACATCATTATTAACATTATTGTATTATGTAAAGTGTTAATAAATTAATAACTATACATATTTAAGTACTTAATTAAAATTAATTAATATACTTGAGAAAAATATAGCATCAATGTTACCTTGTATAACTTGTTACTTTCATAGTTTTACTTTAGACAATCTCAGTAAATTAGGCATTATTTACAAGTTACATCACAATTTTATGAATATTGAAATGTGAAAATATGGAACTTATATAAACAGTAATTTAATACATGCTTTTACTTACATTTGTGCCGTGTACAATGCTATCACTAGATACAGATCGACTAACACATAACTGATGACTGCTTCCGTCACGTTTCATATAACTCCAAGAACCTCTTCTAGTTCTTTCAGGCTGACATCGGAACTTTGAACCAGTTTTCTTAACAAGAAGTTCATCTACCATTCCTTGAAGGCACATGCTCATCATTATAGCCTTAAATATTATTATTGATAATTATTATTTATGATAAAAATAAAAATGTCTTAAAAACTATTATAATAAATCTTATTTAAAAAATAAATTTTAATATAAAATTCTTTAAAAGTGTTAAATATGTTAGAAAATTAGTGAAAATTAAATTTTTATTAAAATATAAAAAAACTGTTACATATATAATAAAATTTTATATAATAATTATTTACTTTTTGATAGCATGTATTAATTGAAATTATATTCCACATTATATAAAATAATTTTTTTGTACAAATTTAAAAATTTATTTAGCATTTGCTTGAGTCATACATAGACATTACAAATGTAGTCCTAATAGAAGTGCATTTGTACAGAATGATCAATGCAACTTCGAAAAACATTCTAAAAATTTAAAAAGTTTTAAAGTTAAATTTAAAAAAAAAAAATTTACATCACATCAGAATTCTACATATACTTAGTGTAGACAAGTGAAAATACAGTAGNATCCGAAAGAATTCCAGTTGGCAAATTTAAATTTTCGCCAGTGCTGTGGCGCTTCAATCTTTGGCTATGTCTTGGGCTACTCAATTATTTTACGTTTTTGATACTAAATTAACTTCTGAAGTATAATTTTTTATTATTTTTATATTTTTCAATATATTTATTTTGTTTGTACAAAATAAAAAAATAATTTTTAACGATACAATAGTCTTTGTTAGGCTTAACATCGACGAAAACTCAACGCGAAGCGACACGCAACAGAGAAAAATTTCAACATCGGATATGTTAAACTATTTTTTCGTACGTAAATCAGTTATCCGGACAACCCCAGTCCCCAATTGATTCGGAAAATCGACGCTCTACTGTATTTTTAAGTTATTCACAGAGACGTGTTAAAATAATTTTAGATATATTCACAAAGAAGTATTAATTGATCTATTTGAAAGATTGTATTTGTTAAAAATTTTGAATCTCTTCTGGTAAACATATGTTAACAATAACATTTATTCAGATATTGCCACAATGTTGGGCTGCAACTTTTAATATTTTTTAATTTAAAAAAATTATTTGACTTCTGATCCAGACCAGAAGTTCGTATATAGTTAATTGGGATCTCTGGTCCGAAAGCTTTCCATATCTGGTATGGATTTTAGTGGGGTCTTGTCCCTGTACATGATACTTCTCCTGATAACAATCAAGTTATATTGGTCATCTATCTAACTCTCTACTGGAAAAGTTTTGAATTGAATCATGTGACTTCCAGTCTACACTAAAAGTTTGTATTTATTGAATAGTTAATTGGGACCTCTGACCCCTAATCTTTCCATATCTGGGCTCAATTTTCATCTAACTCCATTCTCAAGATCAACAAAAGACAGACAGTCAGATGAACAACAACAGGAATGTATAGGTTTGCAATTTGAAAACTGCAACCCAAAAATTGATATCAAATTACACCAGACATACTAAAAACGTCACATCTTTTGTATATCTGGATATATACATTTCTCATGAAATTAATCAGCTGAGCAGCCAGAAAAATCATCCAGATGGGTACCTGACAAAAACCACCTTGGGAGAACACTGAATTACATAAAGTTTAGTGTGAAAGTTTCATGAAATTTTATAATTTAGAGTGCAAGAAAAGTAGGCACTCACATATAAGTTTAAACCATAATTCTAAGCTAGAAATCTTAAGATCAATTTATACACCAATATATATAATCAAACAATATTTTATTAAAATATTAGCAAAATCTTACCTGTTCACTAGTAATAGTAATCCATTGTAATTTATCCTTGTTAACCAAATATTCAAAAGACAATTCTAATTTTAACATATCACTACCATCGTCTGAATCTTTTGATTTATCAGATATCTGAAATATTACAAAAAAAAATTACGTTAAAATTTATACTCATTCCTAATTGAATTTTTAATTTAAAATTTCAATAATTAATTCTGCTATTAAACAATTAAATTATCAAATATATACAAGTATATATTTGGTATATTCTGCTTATTGTAATTATAAATAATATAGTCAGTGTAGTAGTAATGTCATCAGTCAGCTAATCAAAATTAGGAAGTCCTAAAACATACAAGTATTATATATTATAAAAACTTCACTTATTATAATTAGTATTCAGTTATTACTTAATCATATTTGGGTAAATAGGCATTTTTATGCTTTTTTTCATGCTAGCTCTTCAACATGTAACTGATAACATGTCTTCATTATCAGTTATTGTTATTGGTCTTAATTAGTGCTTTAAATTAATTATTTTATTTGTTGGTATTATGCTAACTGTTGTTTAAGTTGGAAGCAGACAAACAATAGCAAAGAATTATTCATCCAGTATTGTTTGTCTTCAAGTTATACATTTTTATATTGTTTTAACAAGTCCTTTTAATGTTGGAGTCATAAAACCAAAACTTTTTTGAATTCCAATCTGTGTTGTTAAATATAAATTGGAATTCAATATATGATAAGAGACAATTTTGTATAGCTATGTAACAGTATCAAGTTTCATACATCATAAATATAAACATCTATAAACCCAATTTTTTGATTAAAGCCAAATGATTGCCATATTATAACAGGCTATATTCATGCTACTATTAATATTTTATCAGAATCAGTCCAAATCAGAACTCAAACCCACAACTTCCCACTTACCATGCAGTTCAAGTCCTGCTTCATACTGATTCTTTTCTTCAAGATCTTCTGAATTATTAAAATATTATTTTAATTATAATTACAGTAAAGCCTTGATTTAACCAGAATAATTCAGGCAAGAGGTATCGATTAAAGTCAAAAGCCTGTTATATAATAAAGTAAGCTTTGCAATTGTGCATATTAAAAAATTGACAAATTAGTTTATCTGCTTTTTACTTATGTAGATCCAATTGTGTAATTAAAATTAAGCATGTGTGAGAAGTTTAATTTCACAAAAAGTTTTCTGTATGTATTATTGCTTATGTACTCACTATAGTTCTGAAACTAATAAACAAGTATACAACCTAAATCGAAATAAACACTTGAAAAATACACTTTAATTATATTTAACTAAAACAAATAAATATTGTTCGTAAAAGGAAAACAAAATTTAAATTTGACAAAAACACAAAACAATTTTTTTTTGGATGATATCAAGACACTTCTGTTGTACAATGATGTTAAGACTGGCAACATTTGGATTTAACCTAATGCCTACTTCCAGGCCAAATTACTTAACAATTAATAACACCAGTAGTAGCATTAATATAGCTTCATATAATCTAGCAATTGTTAGACTTTAATTCATACATCACATTTTGTATTGATTTAAATGGCAGTTGCCATATTTATTAATTTTTTATTTTTATTAATGGTTATATGACAAAAAGAGATAAAAAGATAACAAAAGAATAAATATAACTAAAATTGAATATTTTGTTAAAAATTGCATCACATATTAATTTTAAAAAATAAAATATATTTATATGCATTATATGCACATAAAAATAATTTATAAATTCTCAAATGAAAAGCAAAATTAACTCGTATCAAAATTTGAAAAAAAATAGAAATATATTTAAAATAAAATTATAAAATCAAACACTTACAAGCAAAGTGGCATTACTGTATGTAAAAACAAAGAATCAACTTACAGATGTAGTTATTCTCCAACACCTTATTCTTGTGACTCTGAAGTTGATTTCTTTTATCAATCCCTATATTATTATAATAAAATTTACATATTTTAGCTAGTAATTTAAATCTTTGAAATTGTTTAAAGTATTTTTTAACATTAAAATTAAGAATTTAAATAAGTCAAAAGAAGAAGAAAAATATATATAAATTATTCATATATTATGCATTAATAATATAATTAACATTATTGCAATGTTTTTATTTTTTTTTACTAATCATTATATAAAATTCAAATCAAAAAATTAATATAAATATTGTAATTTATTTTATTCTATATTAAATTTAACTCTTTAAACACAAAAATCAGCTGAAATCAGCTTAATCCCTTAGAAAAAAAATCAGCCAATGGAAAAGTTGTTTGATTTTTCTCTTGTAGTCTGTGGGGTAAAAACAATTTAGTTTGCAGGTACATATAAAGAGAAAATTTTCAGAGTTTAAAGAGTTAAATACAAATTCAAATACATTTCAAATACAATTTGACATTTAATTATTGCTTTATTTTCTATATTAAAATTTATATAGCTAAAATAGATATCAATGGATATATTAAAATAATTTCAATTTTAATTTTAATTTTCCATACTTTAAAAAGCTTTATGTTATTCTTTAAACCAAGTTAGTCCAAAATGCCACTTATGTAAAAAAATGAGTGTAAAAACCCTTGCCATAATTACTTTTAATCACATGACCTATTTGCATTTGTGCTAGGATTGCAGTGGAGGTTCAGCTCCGTTAGCAAAGCTTTTACAGCAATGTTACTGTTGTATGCATGATGTATCAATATAATGTGACTGTCTACCATATTTTTTTTTGTATATACTTGTATATAGCATAAAACCTCTGTTTTCTCCCTCCTAAAATCTTCTTACTTCTATTTTATACTCTCTCCTGTCACATGCCATGGACCTTGCCTTTGGTGGGTCCTAATTGGCAACAGGATAAAAAAGTGAATAACAGGTCCTACACAAGGGAGCCCATGGTCAGAGAGAGAGAAAAATCAAGTTGGGCTTTGGTTACTGAGGAGAGTAGACATCGGGTCAAGGAGCTCAAACAAACTGAAGAGCAATTGCGACTGAGGCCTAAGAGTAGAAACAGGAGCAATTGCCTGGTAAAGACAACAATGAGAAGTTACTAGTTAGTGAAGATACTGGGAACTGGCAAGTAAATAAGACTTTCCCCATGTGTGGGGTATGCTAAATCCACGACCACATGTAAGGAAACACATGCAGCTCTGGGATATAACTACTGGATTAATCAGTGTGAATAAACAAATGAGAGAACATTTCTCCACATGTAAGGTACCTTCCCTTAACAACAGTTTTAACGAAGGTATTAAATACACGTCAATGCAAATGGATTTGAATGAATCCAACAGACCATCTCGAATTTGACCATAGCATCAATTGTTGTCAACCAGACCACATCTGAATTACTGGTATACTCCCTATTCTTATTCTTAATATTCTTCTTTTTCTTATATTAGTCTGTAATTAGTTATAGTTTAGTTTCAGTATGACTGCGATTTACCAATTGTTAGAAGAAGATCAAACAAGAGTGGAGAGTTGCTGTAACTATGCTTTGTACTCTCAAAACAAGCGGGAACCTGTATTCTGCCCCCTAATCAGTATAATAAATGCAAATTGACTGGTTTTTCTGTCTAGTCTCTTTATTGCACCCTTTTACAATAAAGACAATGATTATATTCTACAACTTTTTCTATACGATAATTACTAATATATAAAAGTAAGATATTATTTTTACTGCATGAACTTTTAATATCAAATTACATTAAGATATTGTACTGCACTGTACTAAAATATTATGATTAGCTTATTTATTACATAGTCTCCTATATTGAAGGATTTTCCTATGGCCATCCATACTGCTTGTTCTAGGCATCCACTCTTATAATCAGGATGCCTCTTGTCATAGATATATGGATACTTCTTTGGAATGTTTTCAATAAATCTTTTCAGATCTATTCTAGGTCTTTTTGAAGTAGCCATGAGAGAACATACATAAAAGTTCATTTCCCACCAATTTTCTCACCATGTCATGATGTAGATTCGACTGACTTCTGATTGGTTGATGGTACAGTTTTATGAATGTATTTGCATCAAAAGCTGAACACTGCTCAACTTGTTTTATGCCCTGCTCTGGTGTAAAATATCACAGTCACATAACTAAAAATAATTAAGGCAAAGTTTTTACACCTGTTTTTATGCAAGTGGAGTCTCGACCTTATCCAGAAAGTTTCCACAATATTGAGTTTTAAGCTACTAAATAAAACAAATTGCTCACTTTTTAAAATAAATTGTGTATCAAAGCTACATCACCACATTCCCTTAAATTGTGATTCAGTGATGTATTGTGCTTTTCTAACCAATAAGTTTTAGTTATATCTATTTTAAAGAGTTTTTAAATTTATCTACCTTTAGAATAAGATTTTATCTAAACTAATTTGTTATTCAATAAAGTAAAAAATTTTAAAATTAACAATTAATAATTTCTATGATATATTTCATTTCATAGTTCTAAAAAAAAAAAAAAGCATAACACACAATACTTTATCATTCATGCTTATGAATTTTAAATATGAAACTATTTTGTATTTAAAAATTTTTCAGATTTAACAACAAGAAATTTTATAATAATATGAAATACTGATTGATAGTATCTATAATATACAAAACTTTATAAACTTACTGAAGCAATCTGAACACGAAAACTCAGTTCACGGCCTCCAGCACTTACAATAACTTTTGAGTTTTGTTGTGGAAAGTCTGATTTACATGGTTGAAATTGTATGTAGCCATAATATTTTAATGTTCTTGCCAATTGCAAATACTGAAATATTATTATTATTGTTATTAAATTATCATATTAAAAATAGTTTTTTTTTTAAATATAATTTATCAAATATTTGTGAAAATTACTCAAAATCTACCTCTTTCTTAGAACCTTTTGCTTGCAAAGCTGCCAACTGTTGTTGAGTTTCTTTAGTAGTTATTGTCCAACCTCGTTCTACATCACTAATTGCTTGTACATACAGAAGATTCAGTGCAGTTCTATCATCAAGTAAATCATCATCATAAGATAAATCCCAATAACTAAAAAGAAAAAAAAATAGCAGTTTAATTGTTAAATTAAAAATAAAATGAAAAATAACTAGTTTTAGAAAAATTATTATTTTGCCTCTTTCGTATAATTAAGTAATGCCCTGCACCAGCTGCTTGAAGAGACAGATAAGGAGCTTCAAAATCTTGTAATTGTCGCTTAACTAAAATAAAATATTTAAAATAAATAAAACTAATAATATGAATTATTGCATTATTTGTTATTTAATTATATTTTAAGTAATTTTTATAAATAACTTTTTAGGACATTTTTTAAAATAAGAAAGCAGATTTTCAAAAGTAAGAAAAAAGTGATATACATATATTGTATAATTTTTCTTCAAACACATTTCTACTATTTTTCATAAATGAAAATATTAAGTTCTTACTGTTAAATATTACTTTATATATCATATATATTACTATTAAAACTATCTTTTGGTTTCATAGATATGAAGAGATGATGTTATCTTTATTTATTTTAAAATTCTTTTCAAAAAATACTTAGAATACATATTAAGTTGTTTTGAAATATAACAACTTAATGTGAATAAATTTAAAATAACTTTTTTAAGTGTAGACCTGTATTACAGATATAGAGTAAGTTATGTAATCACCAAAATCAAAACAATGGTGTAAAATTCATTCCAAAAATAGTTAAGAAATGATTAATGCTTAGCTAACATTACAAATATCATAAGTAGCAGAAAAATTTTTGCAATTTCATTATAAAACAAACTTCAGGAAATGAGACATTTCTGTTCAAAACTGGAACTTTTCTTATGATATTTTGGAATCAAGCTAAAAATGTTTCTGGTAACACTGAAGACAGCACAAAAAAAATGGCTTCTAGTACCATGGTATAGATGTTGGCAGATGTCTATAGGTGCAGAAAGAGCTTACTTTGGAAAGTAGTGAGACATAAGATTTTCTGCAACTTGTGTAATAAATCTTGTGCCAAAAATTTGGTTTATTTTTGGCTCTGTTATGTATATTTCTATCTTTTATTTTACTTTTCTTTTTATTGTTTATTTTTTAATTTTATTCCTATTCTTTTGTTTTTTATTTCTCTATTAATTGTGTTTTTAACTGCATTTGCTTTATGTATGTTGTTGTACACATATTAGATATGTTGCTAAAATAAGAAAATACATAATTAACTATTTTTAAACAAATATACTTTTAAACAAATTTGTACATTCATAATGGAATTTATAAATTAATTTTATATTAATATAAAATTAATTTATAAATTCCATTATGAATGTACAAATTTGTTTAAAAGTATATTTGTTTAAAAATAGTTAATTATGTATTTTCTTATTTTAGCAACATATCTAATATGTGTACAGCAACATACANATGTGTTAATGGTAGATGATTTAAAATGATATGACATGATAATACTTGACATCAAGTGATATAATTTGTTCTCATCTGTTAAAACATTTTTGTTTTCCAGTTTTTAAATGTTTGATGTTAAAATTGTTATTTTATTATAAATCTACAACTTTTACAAAAAAAATTATGTTCTTAATAAAAATAATCAATTCTCTAGTAAAAATAACATTTGAAAAATCATGTGTTAATGGTAGATGATTTAAAATGATATGACATGATAATACTTGACATCAAGTGATATAATTTGTTCTCATCTGTTAAAACATTTTTGTTTTCCAGTTTTTAAATGTTTGATGTTAAAATTGTTATTTAAATGATAAGAACAATATGAATTTCATTAACATTTATTAAGCAATACAGCTGTCTCAATAATCTGAGATATATTGGATTGGTAGGTATCAGTTACAGCAATTTGTATTTTGTATGTACAGTACATACATATTACACGGTAAAAAATGCACTTGGCTTACAGATTAATTTATCATATTAATCACAAATATGACTGTTTTGTCGGCTGCATGTGTAACAAACACCTAGCAACAGTGTACAGTACAGTACATATATATATTAGTCTCTATATCATATACGTCGACAAGTGGTAACATGAAAATTTAACATGTGCTGCTCTATGGGGTATCAGATTACTTAATGTGACTGGTGAGCAATGGACTATAGAGATTCTACTGTGTTTATTTTTTATAAAACGTTATCTCCCACATCATTATTTACTTTAATGATAAAGTAACAATTTAAATATTTCAATTAAATATAATTTAAAAAATTGAAACAAAAATATAACAAGTTTATTAGCATGAAATAACACACTTCTTTTTTTAACTCAATGATTCAAAGCATTAAAACAATTGATAGTGAAAGACCAAAATATAAACATTTTTACAGTAAAAACAAAATATTTTTGACTTTTTTTTATATGCAAAAGTTTATATAGATTAATTATGCTGATCTCAAAATTACAAAACTAAATTTGGAAATCAAATTTGACTAAAAGTAAAAAATATTAGAATCTATAACAAAGTTATAGTTACTCTAATTCTTTATCATATTTAACACTTTGGTATCCATAAGTAAATGAAAATAACAAGCTTGACAAATTTGATAACAAAATAGAAAAAACTAATCATAATATTTGCAGCAGAAATTGGAATCTACTGTTCCCATCATAATCTAAAATAGTCTATACTTGTACTATCTAACTTCCAGATTAAAAATACTTCTGTAATTTGATTTATGTATTTTTGTTAAATATAGAAATCCTAATAATGCAAAATACATCTAGAATACATTCAATAAATAGATAGGAACAAATGTGATAGGAAACTGAACAGAAACTATATAGAAAATATATACAGATTTATTAACAATTTTAATATCAAATGAATTCAAGATTACAGACAAGAAAACAAACTATACATTAATGCCACAATGTAAAAAATATAGTATAAATACAGTCTTTGTAGCTATCCATACTTGTTAAAGCAGAATAAAACATGTTTAAAGATATGAAAGTTTCAAGTAAACATAGTTCACTTCAAAATAACAATTTACTACAATTCATTAAATAAACAAAGTGTAAATGTAATCAAGAAAAACAACTTGTTCTAACTCAATAAGTCTACATTAATTTTGATTATTATTTTCATTAATTTAGCATAAACTAGTAATAGTGTAATATTCCAGATAAATAGATCAAAAGAATAAAATAATTTAGAATTTACTTACCTATAATTTCATTGTCCTTCTTATTGATAAGATATATACAAAAATAGCATATCAGATCAAACTGAAGATTGATGGCTTTAGCAACTGCCTAGTTAATAAAATTTATAATTAAATGAACTGAATAATTGAATGAGTATTATTATTAAAAATATTCTGATTTTGAAAGATCTAAACCTTTAAAAAAAAAAAAAATTAGATTTATGTACAGTGTATACAATTATTCTTTTAAATGTTATTTAAGAATTTGGATCTAGTTAAAACATAAATAAATATCTTAAATAGTTATTACATTCATTTCAAAAAACATATAATTACATATAATATATAATTAAAAAAAAAATCAGAATGCTTATCCAGAATGGAAATATTTTTAAGTATCAAATTGAAATTCAATTTGAAACATTAAATGCCTCAAGATTTATTTCAGTAGTAAATAATATAAATCCCTGCAGAAAAATTTCAGGGGAAAAAAGCTGTTCACAAAAAAATTACAACAGTAACTTGCATCAAGTTATTATTGTAATTTTCTTGCAACTGTAAGTTGCAACATACAGGTTACTTAACACTAATATAATCTATTGTTAATTTATTGAACTTAATTTGTAGTGCAGTTTACAACTAATTCAGAAAACTGGTGTGATGATATAATAAAAGGATAATATAGTTTTTGCTTCACTACTAGTATACGACAAAAGAAAGTATGTGCCTTTGAAATTTAGTACAACAACTTGCTAATTATATTATTATATTTATTAATTTAAGAAGGTTATGCAAATAGTTAGTAAACTTACTGAGGGTGCTAAATTATTATTAATTTCTCAAAGAGTAGCATGGAGAGATCAAATTGTGTCCTTGTTGCAAAATTTTGGCTATCAAAATGATTCTATAATGTTAAATGAAACTGATGTCTCTGATATTTTAATGAGACTGACAAATAATTTTATAAATGAGTTTAAAGATAGAGCTGCTAACTAAAAATATAATAAGTGGTATTTGGATGTTTTTAATGAATGGGGATCGGTGACCTATTTGAATATAGAAAGACCTTTTTGCATTATACAAGCAGTATTATATGTGCGATATAATGTATTTAGAAGAATGATGGCTCCGTTGTTTATTATGGATTATTGTGAATTTTGTGGCACTCGTGTTAATTTTGACGCTTTTCATATAGTAACTGAATGTAAGGCTCTGACATCAAACAGACAAAAATGTCTTAAAAGATTATTTTTAGTTCAATCATATATGCAAGATTATAAATAAATATCATTTCATTTTATTTATAGTTTTATTACTAAGATAAATAGCTAAAGGAATTTAATTTGTTAAGATTAAGATACTTTTTTCAGAAGTTTAACCACCAGGAGGTATGAATATAGTATATAAGTGGACAATTTAAGGCTTGACAGTTGGCAGCATTTATGGTCAGTGCATTTTGGGTATATTATAATTAATAATTTAATTTTTTTTGGGTAATTGTTTAATTTTTTCTCTATATTATTTTATAGTATTTTTTTGTGTGCGTCAACTATTCGCTGCCATTTTTGTTTGTATTTTTTTTTTCTTTTGTGGATATAACTATAATTATTGTCGCTTTTGTTTGTTTTTGATATTAACTTTGCATTATTCCTTTTTCCTTATTCTTTTTAACAGGCTAATTGTTATGCACTGTTAATAATAATGTACTGTATTTTGTACTGGAATTAATACAAATGATTGTAATGTTTTTTGATCTGTAGTAATATGCCTGTACATACAAGGTTTTCCTTGTACTATTAAATAAATAAATAATATTTATTAACATAATTATAAATGATAACATATTTTTATTAATGCAAAACATAAGAGAATTTTATAACTTTATATCATTTGAATTTTACATTTATCTTCAAAATTAAAATTTATGCAACTGGCCCTAAAAGCTTGTTCCAATGATGTTACTTAAGCGTTTTTTTTTTTTAACTGTAATTCAAAATTAATAGTATTAGTATATAAAATATAAACAAACAGTGAAAAAAAATTTTTGTTAATATTAATATTAAATAATATAAATTATGTATAAAACAGTCCTTAAATTCAATCTGTATTTTACATTATTATTATTATTATTATTATTATTATTATTATTATTATTATTTACCTCTAAAACTAGAGATGTAGGATCAATAGACATAACATGGATGGAAACTTTCTGCCAATTCATCAAATATATATCCATATCAACTTCTTCCTCTTTAGCATTTAGTGTTTCTTGTTGTGCATTTAACAAAAAGCCATTAAACAGGTCATCACTAGCAACTCTACTATCTTGACTGACTAAAAAAATATATACATCACTGTTAGTTATAAATCCAAAAATTGTAAATTGACTGATAATTTGGCAATGTAAGTAACTTAAAAAATGAAATGCTAAAATAGTGCTGAACTTTCTGGCATTCATAGAATTTATTTAACAAAAATTAAACTCAGTATTATCATCATCAATAAATATTTGAGCTGAATAGGAATACAAGGTTATTCAAAAAGGATGATGCAAAAGTAAAGTTGATTTATTTGTACCTAAAATACTATATTGAGGCTGATACAGTGTCTCATCACCTGAATAACCTGAAACAACACATCTCCAAATCAGTAGAATTGATATCAGAAAATAAGCTTGGACACATTTTGACAGAACTAGACTGTTGTGTTTGACATTGGCTGTCACCAACAATACTCGCATCAAACACCTGTAACATATGTGAAACATGGCGAGTTCTGTCTTTTCATGTCATTACTGTTACTGTGTATTATTTCAAGTATGAATAAATCAACTTTACTTTTGCATCATCCTTTTTGAATAACCTTGTACTTGACAGGCAGGATATAACTCATGCCTCAAAAAATTAAAGCATTATGCTGTGAACCAATTTTTGAAACTGTATTCTTTTTAGATTTATTCTACAGTCAAACCTATCTATAACAGAACCTGTATACAGCAAAAATCTGTCATTAATGAAAAAATTTTTTGGTTCCTTGAATTTTTTGCAAAAAGTAACATAAATTAACCTGTATACAGTGGAACCTGTCTAACACAAACTGAAAGGAAAATCGAGCCTATAACAGAAAGATCAGTATCTTTATCTGATTTAACACAAACTTAATAAGTTTACAAGCCTAGCATGTATAAATCATAAAAAAGTCAGAAAATACACATATGCAATACAGAATAGCAAAATACGACTACTTTATTACAGTAATTTTATTGGGATTTAAATGAAAAGTTTTTGCATATTTTTATTAACAGCTGTTTTTACCTATAATTACTTCACATATTTATGTTAAGTTGTGAAATTTAACACTTTATTTCTTATGTGAGATTGTATTCTTTGTTTTGAAACTTATTTTAAACTGTTTTACATCACATTTCATTTGAATAAAATCAAGTTGAAACGTCTGCATATAAAATTCACATTTAGCATATTATACATGCTTTTTAAGTTTCATAAAGAATATCAAGCTATACAAACAGTAAAAAATACTTGTACGATGTATGGGGAAGATTCTTCTAAACTCTGAATGTGTCAAATGTGGTGTTCAAAATGTGGTTTTGAAAGTTTTGTTTGGAAAATTTTGAACTAAAGGTTACAAAATGTACAGGCCCCCAAAAGCTGTTGAGAAATTGCAGGAAGAAATTGTTAAAGATTGATAAATAATAACTCATGAATTTGCCACAAATCTTAGTGCATCACACACACATATTATTGAAACATTACATCCACTTGAAATGGTTGTAAAACACACTGATGATTGTGTTTCACACACAGTTTGTTATTTTTTCCACTTATGAAAAAAAACAAACTGAATTGAATATAATTTTGTCTGACAAAGGTAGGCAGCTGTAAGGTTTCATTTTAATTTTAAATTGATTACTCAATTTTATCTTAGAGAACTTTTTTTATGGATGAATGACAAAATTAAAGTTAAAATCAAAATATTTGTTATTAACCAAAAATTTGTTTTAGCAGATGGTGTTTGTTCAGTTGAGTACTGAGGTACCACTGTATTTGGTTAATGCAATTTTGATATATGCAATAACATTGAGTAATTTATTAATCGCATTAATCAACGTATACCTATAGTAGGTAACCAGCATAAGCAGAAACCTGCCTAATACAGAAGAATTGTTTGGTCCCCATGGGGTTCTGTTACAGACAGGTTTCACTGTATTTTGAGTTTAATTTTCTTTCATAGTTTAAGGACAAAGACAAATGAGTAAAACGTAAGTATAGAATAATTAAATGCAATTGTACAGCTCTTAAAATTCAATAAATTAAATATTTTTATTTTCTGAAATCTGTTCTAGTGTTCACACATGATAACATATAGACAATCAAGCCCAAATTATTCTAATAATCAAATAATAATGCCAGATTAACTTTTCAACTAGAACTTTGATTAATACAATAAATGCTGATAATTTAGTCAAAAACAGATAGTGTAATTATTAAATTTAGGGAAAAAGGATGCTTAACTAATTTTGAATTAAATAAAATAATTTAGATTATTCTGTAAGGAAAGATTAATCTGAATCACAACTTCTGATCACTGTATTATTACCAATTACACTACTCAAACATTTATCCAATCCTTGATTTCAGTAGACAGTGATTGACCTAGTGGTTATATCTCTTGAATAAATTAGTCTGTAAGTGAAGACAGAGGTCTGGGGAAAGTAATTGGCATTGCAACTGTGTGGTGATGCAAGTTTCAGAAGATGCAAGTTTGTCAAGATCCTCTCCAGATCAATCTTTCCTCCAGAATAGTCTAAATTATTTAATTTAATTCAAAATTAATGTAATTATTAAATTTAATAAAAGATGGCAGTTTAATAGCAAACCTTTAGTCTAAATTATATATTAAAATTAGCCAATGTTTTAGCTTGAAAGTTAATTCAGCATTCTCATTTGATGATAACATATACCATATTTCCTTAATACTACTATATACTTTTTACTCACTTTCACTTGTTTGAAGTGTGTGACAAAGTTAATTGATTTCTACATTTGTAGTTCAAAACAATATGTATTATGAGTGGATAATATATGTTATGTTATGCATCAATAATAGATGGTTTTGGCTATAAACTACTATTCAATAGTCATCAGTTTAAGTGAGCTTTGATGGTAATGAATATTGAAGTTAAATTATTTTTTAATCTTTAAAATACCTTCAAGATTATATTATGTTGCAACATTAACATGAATAACTATTGTATATAGAAAAGAACATTAAAATAAAGCTACCAAGTACCATATGCTTTATTATATATTAACGGAACTTAATAAAATTAATTATATAAAAAAATTCTCTCTCCGTAAAAAGTTTTTAAATTCAATTTTAAATTCATGGTGTATCTTAGAATTAATTGAGGTAATATAGTATTTGTGAAAGACAGTAAAAATGTAATCCCTGTGTGCTAAGACATATTTTGTACTAGACTGCACTATGTTGGAGTGCTTTACATTTTTTTTGTCATAGTCACTGTCTTGTTTGGTCTGCTACATCTCTGTATGGCACAGTTTTTCCCTTCATTCAGCCTTTCTTCATGTTGCATATAACTATATATTTCTGTGCATCATTAGATTCATTTATTTGCTTCATTTTCTGACAGTATTTTTCTTTATATAGTGACACTTGACTATCTTGACATTGTTTCTCTGTCATTAAATTTTAGCATCTATATTAAAATTATTTTAGTAATTTTGAGACTTTCAAGCTATTAATTTAATTTTGTTATAATAAACATTTTGACTAACACATCATAGAAATCATAATTCATTTAACTATAAATTTTAAAAAATTCTTGAGTTCATTCTTTATTCTTTGAATTAATAGACAAAGTCACAAACCTTAAAGTATACAGAGTCTTGAATCATAAGTTCCTTGAGGTGTTCGATTAACTCCAGAGCATTGGTGATATATGGGTAAATAGGAAGATTACCTAAGATGTTACTGTTAACTATCCTTTCAAAGCTTATAGTAGGTGACAAAGATTTATCCACAATTGGTTGAAGTTGTGTCTGGCATGTGTCTTCACAAATGCAAAGATATGAGATGTGGCAAAGGCAATCACTGTAGTGTTATACAGATGCAGAAAGCCTGCTACTGGGGTGTTGAAAAATCAAAGTACCCTGGACTGGACTTTACAGAGGAAGTTGTCGAACAATGGGTAGTTGCTATGGAACAATGGGTGTCATGTATATATTCCTGAATGCCATTACAATAAGTAGACCTATACTTAAGGCCAACATCCTTAGACTTATCAGCTTTGAGGGTGATGATGTATTTAGATTTTAAAAGTTAGAGATGAACTTAGTGCTTTGCTTGCATCCCTACTGCCTTAATCCCTTTTCTAAATCCATCATATTACTTATGAGAAAATTTAAAAATTAATGCATATACTGTTTTAAGTTTTTTCTTGAAATACTTTCAGATAATATTGTTAATTTAAAAGCATTCCAAATGTTCTAAGCTTTACCAAGCTATCAAGCTTGAAACATTTGGAATGCTCTTAAATTATGAAAAATATTTATCTATCAGTACAAAAATGTAATAAGCAAAAACAGCTGGTGGTAATCATTTTGAGCAAATTTTGTAATATTAGTCTGAAAGTCATTTTAAGAATACAAATACTTTTAGATATAATTTGTTTAAAAATATTTTATTTTTGTAATTAATAGATTATAGGCACTTCTGAAATCTGTAGTTTGTAATGATATATTTTGAAACATTTTATAAACAAAATTGATATTAGGCAATTTAAAATTTATTTTAGAAGTCTTACCTAATTGGACATATTTTTCCAATAATGCTCTTCGCTCCTCTGTCTGAGCAGGAGTCAATGGCAGTAATTTCTTTGGAGGGAAGCACGGCAGTGTATTTGGCCCATATTCTTTTCTTAACTACACAAAATGAAAATATTTGAAACAGTAAATTATTTCCTAAAATATTTGCATAAATATTCTAATTATGTAAATAACAAAGAATAAACAAATGAAATCGATTAAATTATAAAAATTGTTAGTATATATATGATTTAGAAACAATCACTATGGCAGACTTTATATCATATAAATGCAGAAAACGTACTAGTGTTTTATTTAAGACTATCGAACAGTAAACTTGAGTTTACTGTTTGATAGTCTTAAATAAAACACCAGTAGGTTTTCCATATTTATATAAAAAAAGCTTTAGGATGTTTTTAGGCTTTCTGGCTCAACAACAGCTGCATTTTAAGACTGCATCCAAATCAAATTTTAATGATTTATCCATTTTAAAAGAACAAATCTGAGCAATATTCTTAGAATTATTTATTTAGTCTCATAAACAAAAAAGATATTTTTGTTACAAATGATATGAAAAGTAGAAGCCTCAATTAGTATTTCACTTACTGTATGTATCAACAAGTAAATCAACTTTTTAATCCCAAAAATATCTCCCCAAATTTAGGGGTCAACTTATAAGGTATGTAAAAAACATACGTCTTTATTACAATGATAAACAAGTGGAACCATTTATGGCAAATCCAGCACAATTACTACTAACTAAAACTTGTAGTCAGTAAACATATTTATCATAAAGATTAACATAATGAAACTTTAGTATAAATGAGCATAATATATGCACTGTTTCCAACAACCTTGTGTTATGGTTAGTGTCTTAAAATGGTATGGTCTTATATATTAATTAATACTTTAGTCATAGGCTTCTGTAGATTATCCCTATTTCAGTACTAGCATCTATATAGCACATCCACCTTATTATATACAGTGGATTCTGCTTAATTGGGCCACCAATTAATTGGGGCAGCTGCTTTATTGGGCCAAATCTCAAAGAATGGAAACTAAACCAATAAACTAATACATGATTTAAATGCTTAATTGAGACAACTTTATGCTGAATTGGGATAATAAAAGAAAACTAATTTAGCAATTTTTGACACATTTTAGGGATCTTCTGAAAATACTGTATATCAGCAGTACGTACACTAATGTTGTTTAGACCTAACAGTTAGCAGAGTCAAAGAAATTATGTCTTTTACTCAAGCAATTCGAACTTTCCAGAATGGAGTCAACATAGCAGAACGTATCACACCAAGATCTTGTCTGAGGCAGAAATGAATTTGAGCTACTGACCCTGCTTTGGATTGGATCATCGTTGGTGTAATGAACATGATTGGTCAATTTGAACTGGTAACGAATGCTGCCGAGGAGAGATTGTTGAGGAACATGATTGGTTAAATTTGAATTGGTGGCACATGCATCTCAAGAAAGACACCATTGGCAAAAAACATCACACAATGTAGCGGACCTAGAATAAAGCTATAACGAGCAAAGCTGCTGATTGGTCGACCGTCAACTGTCAACAACTATATAAGCCTGACGTAGAAGCAGGAAATTCAAGTTTGGATCCGTCTTACTGACTGTCTCTGTCTTTTAAATCTTTGCCAATATGCCAAGAAATGATTTCACACTTTCAAGTAAAATTGCTTTTCTGGATAAAATTAAAAGCCAGCCATTGAATACAAGCCATCGTAGACTTGCTGATGTAACTTGTGTACTAAATCTACCATTGCGCGTCTCCTACAACAAGAAAATCAACTGCATGAGGAGTGGGCATTACAAAAAGAAATTCCAGGAACATCCAAAACAAAGAGGTGGAAAAGATCCAGAAGTTGAAGAAGCATTATATCGATGGTTTTCTAGTTAGCAGACTAGGCGTAAATATCAGTGGTCCAGTGTTGAAAGCGAAGTCAGAGGAGATCGCTAAAAAGCTAAGCCACAATGATTTTAAAGCAATTAATGGTTGACAATCAAAAGTGAGACAATATAAAGTGAGACAATATAAAATACAGAAAAGCACATGGTGAAAAGGGCAGTGCAGATAACATAATTGCTGAACAGTGGCAAAAAAACTAAAATCCCTACTTTTTTAGAGAATTTTTGTTCAGATGATATTTACAATGCTGATGAAACCAGCCTCTATTATCGTGCTATGCCAGATGGCTCCCTGTGTTATATGTTATAAGCACATTGCACTGTCAGGGTATAAGAGCGTAATGAACCACATTACTGTGTTATGCTGTGCAAATATGACAGGTACCGACAAACAAAAACTAGTAATTGTAGGAAAAAGTGCTAAGCCTCGATGCTTTAAGGGGTTAATTATTTCACATACTGAAACATTTCTGCATTATTTAAACTAAAGTAACATAAGATTTAAATAATACCACCACTCAAAACTGGGTATACTTGAATTATAAACTCTAAAAAGCTATAATCCAACAATGTTTTAAAAATATGTGCAAATGTTTTTGCCTGTATTGAATGAGCATCATCAGGAAACTTAATCCCTAGTTGCTGAAATAACAAGGGATTGCCATATATGTGTGCAGAGGAGAAATGACAGAAGACAAGAGAAAGAGGATGGGAAGGATAGTAAATACAAATACGTTGCATTAACCTGTATAGCTTTGCAGTTAATACTTAGAATGTAATACAGTACTAAGTCAGTGCAACATATTGGTGCAACATATTGTATTTATTATTGCTTTGTTCGTTGGGTGAATTTGAAGATAGTAAGAAAGTTCAAAGAAAGACTTCCACACTGTGGGGACGGAGTCAACATCATGAAAATTAATAGCAGTGTTATTGCGGGTAGCCTTATATATATATAAATCCAGTCACCACTTAGAATACATAGGTGCTACATTGTCCCCTTTAAACACCCACATCAAGGAACATCAGACTTCCATCACAAAAAGACTGGCCAACACTGTGTTGACTACCTATGCCTCCAAACCTGATATTGATGTAGAATTCAGCAGTGCACAGCTCTTACATAGCTCTTCCAGGCAACCCTTTCTCAAACATCTTGAGCAGGTAGAAATATATAATGCCACCTGCAATAACACTGCTATTAATTTTTGCGATGTTGACTCCCCAACAGTGTGGAAGTCTTTCTTCAAACTATAAATCTCACTATCCCTCTTTCTCTTGTCTTATGTCAGCTTCCCACTGCACATGTGTATGGCAATCCCTTGTTGTTTCAGCAACTGGGAATTAGTTTGCCTGATGATGCCCATTCAACACAAACAAAAACATTTGCACATATTTTTAAACAGTTGCTGGATTATAGGTTTTTAGAGTTTTTAATAAGAAGATTTAAACTGAACATAAAAGTAAAATAACATTTTTCCAACAACTTAGTGAAGCATTATTTTTAGTGCATTACTAAAGCCTACATCAGAAACTTATAATGAATGAATATATTTTTGATTGATTGCTTTATAAAATTCGTCTCTCTCTCTCTCTCCCAAAAGATGCTTATATAATAAAAAGTATCTCCCTTATTCCATGCCTACTGATATGAGAGGAACTAATTTGGTGAGTATTCTGTATAGTAGCTCACGTCTTGAGGCACTCTGTTGCCACAAAACATGAACTACCATATAATATACTCACCAAATTAGCAACCATACAGATATGAACATACCATACAGCTACTGTACATGATCTTGAGAGACAAGATCAAGATTTTTGCTTAGACTTGTCATAAGCTTTTGTAAATCCTTTTGAGTTGCTCTAACTTCATCAACAATGTTCCATTGCTTTTCTTTTTCAAGACCTTGCTCTTCAAGTTCAGTTACAACTTCCATCAGGAATCCACAGGTATCTGAAACAGTTCATTCTGAAGGTCACTGTTAGCTAGTAGTTTCTTTGCATTTGAAATGGTTTTAGAATGAATCCTCATTGAAAGCATTTAGGTAAGTTGAAATTTGGTGAAAGTTTTTGTAATGGAAAGCTGTAACTGCAATCCCAACATATCCCTACTGATGTTGGAGGCAATAGAAGATTAATTATTTCTTGGTACATCTGTATCTGTAAAGGACACTTCACGAGGATCTTCTTGAAATCTGTTAGTTATTCATTTGGAGGCAAAATTAGAAATAATTTTCTTGCAGATTCTGGGAATTGCATAAGCTATACAGGTATGTGTTTCAAAATCTGATACACCTCAAGCTGCAAAAATGTAAGAAGCATATAACTTGTCTCATCTGTTACAAGTCATTTTATCATAAGCAAAAGTTGGAAATAGGCTTACCATAATACTATTGAAGACCTGCACAACTGTTGTTGAGTTAATTTTCTCAAGAAAGTTAAGTTTTAAACATTAACCTGACTTTTTTCTATTTAGTGGTGCAATTAGAATGTTAAGAACAAACTTGTTTATTTCATCTATTGTTTTGTCTAGCATCTATAATTTCTATGATTTCTATGATTGTTGAGTTATACAATGAATTGATGTAAATCTTTTGAAATGTACTTTCCATCAAGAACCAACAGTTTACTCTCTAAGTAACTTTTTAAAGTAGGAAGTTATAGTTTGAAAGGTGATATATCAGCTTGAATAAATGAAGCAGTAATATTGACATAAAACTGATTAAGTTATCCATTTGATGAAAAATTGTTTGGTAGTAGCTCCCCTTTTTTCAGTTCTTTTTCTTTACATGTTATCCAGTTTTAATACCGTATTTACTCGCATATGACAACCTCGCATGTAAAACGAGGTGTGAATTTAAAAATCAAAATAAAGAAAATTAGATTTTGATCTTTAAATTCACACCTTGAAGTTAAGCATTTCTTTGCTGAAAATTTTGCATTTAGGTGTGATTCTCTACTCTAAATTAGATTTATTAATACAGTTCTAATTTTATTTTGTTTAATCACAAATAAAATATTATCAAATACACATATTGTCCCACAAAAATTACTGGCATTTTAAACTTTAATTAAGGAAGAATCTTGAAAATCGACAACATAATTTGTTCATGTAAAGCTGAACAATCGAAAACTTTTTTTGCCAATTCTTAACAGAGGAATTCATTCTCTGTCGATTACACTTATGAGTTTGTCTGAATTTCTGATTTCCAAATAATCATCTGTTTTCATGTGGGAATAGATTAAAACATATTGTGCTCCTGTGTGATTTTGGAATTTCAATTTGGAATTCAATTCAAAAGCTTTGCTTCTCCTATTGCTATTCATTTTTACTCCTGACAATATACAAGAACGATTCAAATGACCCAGATAAAATACTTATGTTTTTAAATACAAGAGTGTAAGTATCCAGTAAAAAAATGTGAATACACGGTTCACAAAAATTATTTGCAAAAACACAAAGAATCTTTTGCTCGTGCATATAAGATGACCTAGGAATTTAAAGCTGTGATAAATTAATAAAAACCTCATCTTATATGCAAGTAAATACAGTATGTCTCAATCTGTGTTTTCTGATATTTTTATTTATGCTAAGTATAAACAATAACTCATAACCCAATTTTAATTGATAAAGCCAAACAAACTTGTTGAAATTATCAGTATGATTGTTGAAATAATTATAATAATTATTAAAATTAATATGAGATAGCAGATTAACTGCCTACCTCTATTCAAATTAATTAATAATTAATGATTAGCAGAGCCCAAAACAATTTCAGTAAGGTTGTTTGGCTATGCTAATTAAGTTGCAAATCATACACCTCATATTGTTCCACCTGTAGCTATCTGATCTGTTGAGTATTCTTATTTAATATATCTCTCAACTTACAACTTGTCATTTTGGATTTCTGTATTTTACAAAATTATGCTTTCGTGAAATGTTATGTACAAAGTTCTCATTGCTGTTATACACAATCAGTTAATCTTTCTAATTCTCATGTGATTCTTTCCATCCTGTTACAGAGTGACACTGCTACTTGTGACAGTTATATTGTAGACAGGAAAAAAATGAAAAAAATGTAACTGCAAACTAAAAAGTGCAAACTGGTGCAAAATTTCTCAAAAATGGTGCTACCTAGACCCCTGCTAAATGTCCCAAATGGTCACAGCAGCAGGGTTTCCTTTTGTTGTTGTAGAGGGGCTTTTTTGTCTTTTGGGCATCACCTATAGTCTGTTTTGTAATAAAGAAAATAACAACACTTTACACATAAAAGTCTAAAAATTAATTAAACTGGATGCAAAATTTCCCTTTACTAATTATAATAGATACATTTATGGCAAGTTTTTCTATATAATGACTTTTTTAAAATTAGATATTAATCCAGCTCTCCCCTCATGATTAAACAACTACTTTTAGCCCAATTATGAAAGATCAAATTAGATTACTTTTCGTTTCTTGATTTCCACCTTTAACTGGTATTCAGCAAGAGTCAATTTTAAGTGGGCTCATTTTTCTGTATATATCAATAATTTGTTTATCAATATTAAATCATCTGCTATTGCTTATGCAGATAATATCAATGACCCTAATGACCTCCAATGCAATTTATACCTCCTACCTTTACATTGGGTAAAACTAACCTAAGAATTAAAAAAAATTTACATGACTACATGAAGAGAAACACACATGACTACATTAAAAAAAATGTAGTCATGTTGTGTTTCTCTTGTTCAGAATCTGCTTCTACCACCCCTTTTTATAAATACTCACATTTTACAATACATCAGTTCTTATAACAATCTATGGATTATTTTAGATAACAAATTAACTTTTAAAAGCCACATTGATAAGATAGTGAAATCCTTGCTACCCATCAAGGGACTTTATGGTGCTTTTGTAAATTTATATCTTTTAAATCTGTTTTGCAATCCATACTTTTTGCAAACTTCTAACCCCTCACTGATTACTGATTACCCATTTGGTCCATGGCTGCCCCCTCTCCTTGCAAAAATTTTGAAAGAAATTATATCTACTATTAAATAAATTTAATAGCAGTGTTGCTAGAGTAAAACTGGGATTTCCCAACTTCACCGACAAGATCAAATATTTCAATAGCATACTTTTCTTTAAATATTTTAAGTTTAATTCTATCCCCTGGCTCTGTCTAAGAGTACCTGGAAGAATTACTCACAATGCTATATACATATTCCCTATATCTTTACTTGATGACAAACAGATATAGGGAATATCATACTTTATACATATTCACTATATCTGTTTGTCAGTATCACCAAGATCCTTCTTTTCACAAATATACTTTTTTTTTAATCCTCTTTTTACCATATAGTAAATAACATGGGTTTGATGGAACATTTAATTCACAAAATATTTTCTCTTTACAAGTGATCACTTCAATACATTTTACATAACTTTTAATTTCATACAGTCACATTGCTATCATTTGTTTGGTATTTTTTTACCACACAAGTATTTTAGCTTTTTACAGTTTTACCTATTTGTTTTTAAATATATAAACATCTCTTGCTTGCTCCTTCTACGTCAAATTAATTAGTAATTTAAATTATAATTGCTGGAAAACACTCCAATCTTATACAGCAGTTGGTGTGGCTTTGTTTTTAAAATACCATAATGTTGCTTATATGTATATGATACTATTTTTGTACTGAGATAGTTTTTATTATTTTTATAGTTATCATCATTATTATTATTTTACTCTGTTGTTTGGGGTAGAAGTCTGCTGCCTGATGGCATTTTCTAGTGTTTATATAATAAATAAATCTTTCAAAAATAATAGTGTATAATACTTTACACTGCATTTTCCATAACTTAATTATTTCAATTATCAATATTCATATAATCATTAATATAAAAAAAAATTATATTTATTTCACTTTATTAACATTAATTAAAAAAATTCAATCTTTGTTTCATATAAAAAGAAATTAATTCGTAATTTATCTAATAAGTAGCATAAAACTAGCCCGATAGATTTTCGGCAGTCTGTTGGTTGTAGCTATAATTATATATCGGGTTGGAGATGTTTGTATATATAAAAAGAAATTAATTTGAAAAATGGTATAATAATTGGAACTTTCCCTATCTATAAATACTCTTAAAGTACAAGGCAGTAAAATTTTCATTGTAAGTTCTACAGTTAATTAAAAAAAAATAATGCAAAATATAATATTAGATCTTCATTTACCCACTGAAAATTTTAATCTTAAGATGTTACAAATATTATAAAAATGAGATGAAGATGCAGAAAGAGTGTTTTAAGTAGAAGAAAATAGATCATCATATAAACTCCTGACATGATTTTATTTATATTTATTAATATTTCCTAAAAACTGAATTATTGTGATTTTATTCAGTAAATTCAGTTTTAGTTTGTTATTTGAAGCTAATTTCAAATTCTATTTCAAAAATAGTATACTTTAACAAATTTTTATTCATTATTAAAATAAAATATATTTTCTAAAATTATGAAATTCAATTGTTTTTCAATTTAATTTTAAATTAACAATAGACAATTTAAATATATTTTAATAAAATAAATTTATATAAAAGTATTACCTGTTCATGAAGACTATGCATCTGCTTGTATCTCACTGTACAATGAAATGATCCATTTATGTGAATGTTATAAGCCTAAAGAAAAAGAATTGTCTTTAAATTGCATTTGTGGAAATTTTTAAGTGGTTTTTGTTTTATCTTAATAATTTCCATTCTTTTATAAGAATTCTATGTCCTGTAAAGTTTTAAAAGAATGAAAATTTATTATTATTAAATTAAACTAAAATTGAAAATTATGTAATTATTATTTAATGCTAATGAAGGTGATGAGAAATTTTGCCTAACAACATGTAAATGTAAAATAAACAAAAATACAAAAAAAAAATAAAAATTTTACAATTCTAAAGTTTTATTAAAAATTTGTATACTTTTGAGAAGCTGGAACACTAGCAATAAGCAACTCCACACCTTCCTTATTCTTTCCAGCAAAAATTTTTAATAGGACAAACATTTTCAGCCTCTTTAAGGGGCTTGCATCAGGTTTTCCCTTAAGAAACCAGACACAAAGAGTAAGGAAGGTGTGGAGTTGCTTATTCAAAATTTAAAATTATCAATTAATTATTATTTATTTGCAATAGATAAGAAAACAGTTAACAATATTATGCATAAATTATATATTTATTATTGTTACTATCATTTAACTGATAATTATAATTAAACAGTGTTACAATATGAAATAAATATTTAATGTTTGGCAATGCCAGCCAAACATTACAGAAAAGCTGTTCTATCTCTAACCAAGGCAAGAGAGAAATTGAAGTTTTTGAATTGGTTTTTTTTTCCTTTTAGTTTTTTGTAGTTTTTTTGTTTATTTCCTGAAAAGGGCCTCTGATTTGTGACTGAAAATGTTAGAGCTTTAACACAAATGTCTTCTAACTAGAATACTGTGTTGAGTAATAACTGTCCACAAAACCTTTATCAGTGTTATGTTCGTTACAATATCCACCAACGTTTTTGACCTCCACCACGGTCTTCTTCAGGTGCTGACTAAGCATTGTCTCCCCTTGACCGTTAGAACTATGTCGTCTGCGATGTAAATATTGTGCGTGTCATGTTTCACCCCTCTGCTTGTTCCCGTTCAAATTCCTCAAATAGGTATCTCCACGCCTGCGTGATCGTCTCTCCGTCTTTAAAGTTGATGCAGGTGCCCCCAACATTGGCTTTGTAGATCTCCCAGGCCTCCAGATGACAGATGTGATCAATTTGAAATGCCTGTCTGATTAATTTGGTGTTCGGGAAGTCCGCCCGAATTGCAGGGTCACTAACGTACACCGTTAAGGCAGTGGTGTGCCTGTTATTTTTAATGTCCGATTGATGCTCGCATAACTGTTTTTGTGTTGAGCGCACATTAAAACTGATATAAACTAAGTTTCTTTGGAATCTATCATCCCTGACGGGGATGGAGTAAACCCCTGGGGCTCTGTTGAGATTTATTGCATCTTTAGCGTTGCAAAGCAGGTCGTAAGTAGTGCTGGTCCTCCTGTACATGATCTTTGTGTGATTATGGCAAGCAATCTCCCTGTATAGGGAGGGGATCCAAATGTTGGTTGAACCGGATGACAGCACACCTATCATCCTTAACGGACTGCTGTCCGCTGTCCGGCATAGTCAGGGGGTAGCACTGCTGCGCGGGGAAGACAGTTGGCACAGGCACGGACCAAACCGTGAATCATGCCCTTACTGTAACCATACTCAACCGCAATTTTTTCTATGCAGCGGAGCTCAGTCAGGATGTCGCATTTGTTAGTGTGATGTGTGAAGGCCCATCTGGTTAGAGCTCAGAAGGCCGCGATTTTGTAAGCGAGGGGTCAGACGAGTTAGCGGGGATAAAGAGCGGAACTTGGTCCAGTTTGTGGTGAGCGCTCTCTTCTATCTTGCCACCCGAGATGTATGTCAACATCTAGGAAATGTGTACATGAGTTACTAAATTGATCCAAGCTAAGGGTGAGGCTGTAAGCATTGTCATTCATGCATGACAAAAACTTGTCGAGATCTGGCTTGGTTCTCCAAAGTATAAAGATGTCATCCACATATCTTTGGTATAGACTGACGGACGGTAAAAATTTAGGTAGTACCCCCCACTCCAACTGTCTTACTACCAGCTCGCAAAGGTCTCCTGATAGTTGGCTGCCCATGGGTACATCCCATCTCTGTAAGTAAGTGGTGTTGTTGAACCGGAAAACCGAGATGTAGCACATGAGATGTGCCAGCTCTAAAATCTGCTGACTGTGCTGGTGCGCATCATTCTCGTGAAGTAGAAGTGGAGGTCGAAAACATTAGTGGACATTGTAATGAACACAACACTGATAAAGGTTTTTTGTGGACAGTTGTTAGAGCATTGCAGTTATTTGCTGGACATCGCATATAGGTGTTAGTTGCACTGAAATAAATACTTTTCCTTCAATCTTTTATATGTGCATTTTGAAATTTAACCAAAAGAAAAAAAATTACCAACATTATTTCTAAATTATATAATTGATAAGTTATTAGCAAATACATAAAATTTTCTTCAATATTTATTTAGTTTATTTCTTCAGATAGGAATTGCATATGAATTGTTTTTATCATAATTACAATTGTGCCTTATAAATATATGTTGAATTCTACATTATCTATAAATTATACATGTTATGCTTATTTGTTTATTATTGTTTATTCATTATATATATATAAGTAAGTTTTCACGCGAGGTCATAAAATATTCTAGCATCTTGTGTTGGTTGGTGAACGAGGTAGAGTATATATTAGTAAATAAAAAATGTTTTTTTTTCTTTACTCTTTCTGATCTGTGGACGCTAAGAAGACCTTTTAATCAGGCCCCACAATGCAGTGGCCTGGCCAGTGGAGAGTTACAGCTTACTGTTAGTCAAATAGCTCCCTACGAATGGCTAATTGATGGAATCGTTGGAAGCGTCATACGATATCTTTGTGTATAGTATCCACGATCTAAACTGCTTGGGTTGATACTATGTAAAGCGAATGCGTGTAATCTGGCTGCTTTACACGATTCAGATATTTTCGCCGTGGAAGCCGTTCCGCGCTTCCATTGCGAATATGCATATACGAATTTACATTGGAATATACAATAGCAATCTTATCATTGTTTCTCACATGTATTGTAATAAAATACATGATGCAGTTACAATATAATAAAATGTACAGTACTTTGAATTACTTAAAATTAATGTTAAAATATGAAAATAATCGCACAACATGTATTTACATCTTAGAAAATACAATCGACCCTCCCCCCCGAATATAGGCAACTCTGATTTCTGTATATATATCAGTAGTGTGCCGTCCATGGAAGCTGTGGAAGCACTGCAGCGGTTTTTGATGTCGTAAACATAATTTTTCGATATTAGAACTGATTTCACCAATTTCAATCGTAAGTCAGGCTCATCATTAATTAAAGTCTATTTTTGTATTTTTGTATTTTTGTATTTGGTATTAAGAGCTGAAAATGTAGAAAACTGATGTTGCGAAACAGGCATATTAGAATGAAATGGATTCTGTATCCACGAGTGTGGATCACAAGCTAATTAACGGAATGCTCGCACAGCAATTGCGTGAGTGTTTACTCACGCAATTGCTGGGCGAGCATTCTCATGCACTATACAGTAGTGCATGAGAATGCTCGCCCATTATAATAGTGGCCGGATGGCCGAGTGGTCAAGGTGGCAGCCTACCGCCTTGGGGGACCCAGGTTCGAATCCGAACGTGTCGAAAAATCCCCAGGAATTTTTCGGGGGGGTGNTAGCATCCAGGTACATTTTTTAAGCAGGGCAAAGTCCTTGTACTTTTTGAACATCTAGATTGAACTTTAGTACCTCAGCCAAGAAACTGAGAAAACTACTACTTGCACAGTTTTTGTGTTGATTATGAATATATAGGTCATTTCTGGTGCATTTCAGCTGTTTTGCAGATATTGCACCACATAGTTGCACTTTGCCCAAACAAAACTCCATAGACAGTGGTACCGGTTAGTGCCCTGGAACTTTATAGTTTATGACCATACCTCTACAATGAATCTTTATCAACAGCTTGAAAATATATATATATATATTTTTTCAAGCTGTTGATAAAGATTCATTGTAGAGGTATGGTCATAAACTATAAAGTTCCAGGGCACTAACCGGTACCACTGTCTATGGAGTTTTGTTTGGGCAAAGTGCAACTATGTGGTGCAATATCTGCAAAACAGCTGAAATGCACCAGAAATGACCTATATATTCATAATCAACACAAAAACTGTGCAAGTAGTAGTTTTCTCAGTTTCTTGGCTGAGGTACTAAAGTTCAATCTAGATGTTCAAAAAGTACAAGGACTTTGCCCTGCTTAAAAAAATGTACCTGGATGCTACCCTGGTATAATGACTACAGCATTGATTCACTATTCTTAGCATTGATACATTTAATTTTTATTTTATAAGAAATAAATGTAATACAGTATGCAGTTTTCCATATAATATAGTTTCACTAAGTTGAAATTCTCAGTATGTTTAATTAATTTGAACCATGTACCCTCCACTCTTTGATAAGTTCATGATCTTCATTTTCTCTTATATTCTGTGTGAATACAGACAATTAATATAAAAAACACTACAGCTTCATGCCAAATGCAATATCATACCATTACAATCTTGCATTGTAACATCCTTTTACTAGCATTCTGATTGAGACATGAAGAGATACCTTGACAATGATCTTAAAAGTGCCATAGACTATATATAATTTTGTGATCATTCTGTGAATATATTCTTGATAAACAGGTTGATAGTGAGAAATTTTCAGCTACAGAAAAATTTCAATAAATCAGTATTAAACTCATTAACTTGAAATTCTTTAACTCAACTTGCTAATTCTAAAGCTGGAACTATTTTCTAAATATTAAAATTCACACCTTCCTCTCTCACTTTCCAGCATTCACTGATAAAAAACAAACATTTTCGGCTACATTCAGTGGTCTGAGTCAGGTTAAGGAAATTCTGTATCAAACATCTATAGCAGGTTTGAAGTTTGGAATAATGCCATTTTTTTTTTACGTAATCATCTTTGAATTAAAATATACTTTAA